TAAGTGAAGTTACGTATTCTGTGGTCAAGAATTTCATCAAAGTATCCACTCCATGCACGACGCAATGCCTGCGGCAGCAATTAAGTATTCAAGAATAATGTTCCAGCCAATCAGAAATGCCCAAAACTCGCCCATGGAAACATACGTGTATGTATAAGCCGACCCTGTCTGGGGAATCCTTGCCCCGAATTCCGCATAGCAGAATGCCGCGAGTAGTGCCACCGATCCGGCAATAATGAATGATACAATGACTGCAGGACCAGCAGTATTTTTGGCAACAGTTCCAGTAAGAACGTAAAAACCTGCTCCCATCATGGAACCAATACCAATCATTGTCAGATCGAAGGTGGAAAGACATCTGTTCATGGGCGTTTCCAAATTATCAGACCCCATGCTTTTCAAACGACTTAATCTCTTAAAAACAGAAGAAAAGAACGCCATGATGCCGGTACAAGGTCGTGCTAAATTATTGAGTGTCGTGTTGATGCCTTCGTTGTATGTCTAATGCAGTGGAACTTTCTAAAATAAATAAAAATAGGTATATGAAACATGATCGCATTGCTGTTCTTAACTGGAATCTGAAATTCAGTATGATTTATATCAAGATGATACATTTGTTTTAGTAGCGCTGTGCTCCCTCAACTGAATCCAATTTAAATGTAAACGTTAAAAACGTTTAAAATACGCCAGGAATAAAAAATACATAGGCATATACAAAATAAATAAAAAACAAACATATACAAAATAAATAAATCAAATTTTATATGCTGCAGTTAATAGTTGCACATCATTGTGCTTGGGGCCTTTTTGTTGTCAATCTTTTTTAAAATATATTTCCCTTCCTGTAAAGTTGTGCCTTTACTGACTTTTGAATTTGCATGTTTATTGTAACTGTCTTATCCAATTGAAATAAGCTTGATGTTTTGGTGGCCATATTGTTTTTTAAGTGATACACAATTTTCTGAAAGGCTTAAAATAAATTACCCCTTAACTGTGGAAAAATCGCC